ATTAATGAAAATTGATTTTTGTATTTGTAAATTTTGTTTTACAAAATTAAACTTCTTTTATTTTTTTATTAAAATTTTTGATTTGTAAATTTAAAAAAAATTTGTAAAAATTGCAAATACTTTGAAACATTTATAAACACAAATGGTTTATTAACTTAATATTAAAATGCTTACACTAAAATGTGTCACAAGCAAATTTATTTTACTAACAGTATTTTTAAATAAGGGTCATCCATAAAGTACATACTCCAAAAATTTTGAAATTTGACCCCCTCCCTCCCCCCTGCTGCCATGCCTACTTCCCCCCCTAAAAAAGTACGTACGTTTTTGAAATACCCCCTCCCCTAAACTTTTTTTTTCAATGAAAAAGTTTATGGGAAAAAAAAAATGTGGAGGAGGTACCTTAGATACTTTATACAACTCAAAAGCTCTTCGTTTGCCTCACAGGATCCCAATTTAAAAAACGTCTTCAAATATATAAATATTAATTTTAATAAAGTTAAATTGGTTGAGTAGTGGTTATTGAGTTGTTAGTGAGTTGAGTAGTTAAATTGGTTGAGTATGCTGTGGACTGCGGCGACTGAGGCCGGTGTTCGATCCTTGGTCGAGCACATACTGTACTATAAAAATAAACTATACTTAAGGCTGACGTTTTTTTCAGGCACCCCTATTTAGTAAGTCCATAAAAAACGAGTCCTACGCGAGATCAGTAATATCAATAACAAAACCTAAAACCCAGTGCTGAGATTAGTCTACCTGTATCCCTTAATTTGAAAGGGGGGGGGGGTAAAGGGCAGAAAATTTTGTGCTCTTTTGCTAATTTAAGGAGCTTTTAGCAAAACCTAGTGGTAAAATTTTGGAGATTTTGAGACCCAAATGACATGTTTAATAGTCATTTTGAGACCCAAATGACTATTAATTTGCTACAATTTGTTTGGTGGACATTACGGTTTATATTTGTATTTTGGATCATTACGGGACAGAAATTGATTAGTAGTTAGGATAATAATGTTATTAATTTGTTTTTAGTTAGCTTATAGTTGTTAAATAGTTATACGTTAAAGTTGTTTAAAATTTTTGTCTATATGATAATGTTTATTATTAACATATTGAAAAAATTAAAATTAAAATTGATAAAAAAATATATATAATATTATGAAATATATAATAGCAAATTTCTCATTATTATATCGTATCCAAAACCTAAGGAACTGCTAAATTAAAGAACCGAAATTATATATATATATAAGTGCCGCCACGAAAATAAGTTCTTATTAAAAAATTACAAAGCTCACTACAAACATAACTAACAACTAAAAATAACTATATTAATCTACTCCATATATCTTTAGGTTAACTAATAAATTGCTTACATACACAGCTATTGTAATATACTTCATATTATATATATATAATATAATATATATTTTATATCAACTTTAAAAGATGTCCCGGTTTTTTGGAAAAGCTCCTAGTTATATACAATTAAATTTTTGTCCATATAACAAACTAAATAAAGGCTAGTTACCACGCTTAAAGTTCGGCATTCAGCAATGCTGGTTAAAAAAGTTAGATCGGCATTCAGTAATGCTGACCTAAATGCTGACCTAGAAGTGTTTGAGATTTACAAAAAATTGCCGACCTCGTTTCTATGTTTTATGGTAAGACCTTCGTATCAAATATTTTTGCCAACATTATGTCGACCTCTAAAAGATTAAGGTAATATACAGAGTTAATAATAAATGGTTTGTTTATTAGTATCTGTTTTCTTACTGGTTCAATTCTGTTGTACTTTCATTTTGTTAATCACTTAGCTTACCCAAGCTTTTTATAGGTGGTAAACCTGTTTTACCATTTAAATGTGCATATCAGGTTTAAAGATGTCTTATTTGAAGGGCGTATTTGTGTTGTACCTTTTTTTTTTACTTACCTTATACAATCATTACGTAGTTATTTTTTTCAACCATAAAAAATTAAGAGGAAACTGATTTTTTCTAAGATAGAAGCAAAACAAAAGACTTATAACATTATCAAAGGATCCATTTCCAAATCTTTTAAAATTGAGAATTTTAAAATGAGACATTTATGAAAAGTAATCAATGATTTTTCATAAATAGAATCTACTTTATAAATGGGCGCTGTACTACCACTACCCTACCGTATATAATATATGTATGAATATTTTTTTTTCTAGTGAACACTAGTTGCGAAACACTATCAAGTATTCAACCTCTTCTTTTGACAATATCTATTGGGGTAGCACTATCTGTATTTGTCGCATTTATAGCTTCCTATGTCAGCTGTAGTTCGCTGTGTAATACAGAACAGGTCTTTTTTTAATTTTTAATTTTTTTTTGTCTACCGTAACAATTTTGATTATCTACACAATTTTTCTTTCCAGGTTTATCCCGGTATGGTTGTTGTTCAACAGCCTTCTAACATGGTCGTTATGGCGAATACTCAGTTCAATCAGGTTCCACAAGCACCTTATTACAACCAGCAAATTCCTTACGGAGGCCTGCCTCCCGCTTACTCCTCAGTACCTGTGACTTCCTACGATCACAATCCTACCCATGATAAAGCTGCATTGATTGATGATGGAATTGTCTAATTCTAATTGTCTATTTAAAAATATTTGTGAATAATATTGTTATTTTAATAATGATTGGAACTGAGTTGCATATTTATTGTAACTCCAACATTTTTTGATGATTTTTTTTTAAATTTTACTTTTCATTACTTAAAGTTTTGTTAGTGTGTAAATAAAGTTGTGTTAATTGCAAAATATTCAAATCAAAGTATGGTTCAATATAATCTCATATACATAAAATTTAATCTGGAAAATTTTTTTAAATATAATCTTGATTTTTTTTTAATTTATAGTTTATATTTTTAACACATTTAAACATTTTTTTGTAAGTACACGTTTATTTTAGTAAGTACACTTTTAAGTCAAAATTTTTGATTTTTAAAACTTTTTATTAGGTTTGTTTTTAAAATAAAAGAATTATTTTCTTTATTAGATTTGTGATTTATATTTTTGTAATATATATTTTCAAAACGTCTAAAATTAGTAATTAAAAATTTTTATTTTTATTTTTACAAATATTCGATTTTTCACAATACTTTCCTAGTTACTAAAAAAATAATTTAGGTAAAACCACACGCAAAATGATTTTGTAAAATAAATTTTTCTTTTACTTAGTATATCACTAAAAAGTTGTTGAAAGCCTACTAAATATTAGAGGAGAATTATGAGTGGAGTATTGCAAAACTGTAAGAGTAGTGTTGTCGTCTAAGTAAATATTAGAGGAGAATTATGAGTGAAGTTTCACAAATCTGTGAGAGTAGTGTTGTTGTCGAGCGCTAGCTTTGTTATCGAGAATTACAAATTTCGATTCCCGCAACGCGCAGTGGGCCAAAATTATTACTGGACTTAAGAAATAATTTTAAATATTTATCAGGTTTGCCCTATAATTACTAGGTTGAGTATATTTCATACTACGGATCTAGTGATAACATTTAGTTGTTTATTTGGTTGCTATTTATACCTATACTCCATAACAACACTTCATTTTGCATAGTTAGCTAAATTAAGAAACTTTCTTAAATCGTTTAATTCATAAACTAAATTGATAATGCTACAATCCCATTTTATGTATTTGACTGATAACACAAACATAATAATGCTAATTTTTGGTGTTGCTATGAAGTTTTAGACTCTTAGAAAACAGTTATTTGATTCTTTTTTGAAACTTGCGTACTTTAAATTTTCTATAAAAGAATGAGATAAAAACTTAACAATCTTAACTCTATGGGTTTATAGGAACAGTTAATTAAGTATTGTTTATATCTATATAGTTAAATACACGGATTTATTGTCTCAGTTCTGTTCCGCAAATTATCTCAAAATTGTTTAAAAAAGTAAACCTTTCTAGAATTTGAGAAAAAATTTGAGAAGCAGAATATGACATTGATATTACTTTAATATAAAATCTTTGATTTTATATTCAAGTAATATCCATATGTCAAATTTTTGTAACGCTAAATATCTTTCCTAGCCAAATTTATCACTAACTTTTTATTTAAAATTAAATATTTATCTTACTAAACGATTTAAAGATAATTTACGGAACAAAACTGAGACTATAAACCCGTGTATTATCTTTAACAACCAAATAAAAATCAATACGCTTTCATACAATTAGAGCAAAAAGAATACTTGAAGTTCTTTAAGTTTAAATAAAAATTTTAGAAATTCTTAAAGTTTTTATTTCAAACCAACTCTATTACTCTTTTATAAACAATCGTATAAATTATGTAATCAATCGTAAAAATTATGCAGTCATTGCCTGAGAAAAGTAAATTACGAAATCTTTATCGCCGTCAGAAACATTCAATCCTTGTTGTTAATTAAGCGAATCGCTTTTCACATTCAAAACACTTTTAAGATTATATGAAGGTCCTGATGTGTATAAACTTCACATATTTTATGTTTAATGTTTTACTTTTATTTGGAAAAACGAGTGATCTTTATTTGTTTTTAAGGTGGTAGACCACTATTAAAAATCAAAAAAATCGTTTTTTCAGTTTTAAAGTTTTTAAGTAATATAATTATTGTAGATTAGGAATTTCGAATTAGTTTTATATAAAATTAAAGCTAACCCTATTAAAAACCAATTTTTAATAATGCGGTTTAGGATATTTTAAAAATTTTTCCATAGCAACGGATTGTTTATTCCGTTGCTATGCAGCTAAAAAGCAAGTTATCTTTCAAAATACCATTAAAATTCATAAAAAAGCTACATGTGTGGCAACTGCTACTCTAAAACTACTTTTTGTTTAATAATAAATGTTTTTGGTGCTGTATGTTACATGGTTATTAACGGATTTCTTCCTCTAAATTTGTCATACGATAAAAGTCACGTAACCTTAGTGCCTACTTTATGAATAATTTGCATAAATTTGTCCAGTTGTTTTTAATGTCCGTAAACTTCTGATCTTCCTACCATTTTTAGTTTAACTAAGGTTATATCACGGAAAAAATAAAAAATTTAAAACAAAAATTGGTATAGATAAACTTTAAAAACTGTTTTGAAAAATTGGTATAAATAAAGTTTGAAATAAAAACTGTTTTGGAAAAATAGTTTTGGCCATTTTCTGACCTCTTTGAGGCACTGCGATGGCAAGAAAGAGTCTCTCTATAAGAAATTTATATACAGGTATGTAAATATATATGTAATAACAATATGTCAACTTACACAAATGTAAAAATTTCATTTGTATAGAGCTACGTACAAATATCTGTAAGTATAAACGTATATATATGTACAATATAAGAAAACTTTTTTAAATTTTCTAACAGTAGTAAGTATTTTTACTTAAATTGTTATGGTTTGTATTCGAAATAGCGACAAGATTGAAAAAAACGGAAAAATGTATTTTGCTTAGAGGTGGAATTGAACCCACGGAAGTGTTATGTTGACACTGAGGACAGCACTTAATCACTGAGTTTATAAGTATAATTGAAAAAAATGTTATAAGTATAACTGAAAAATAAACCATTTTATGAACTTTTTAACATAATTGCAGTTAATCAACACTTTTCAAACGGAAAATTGTTTCATTTTTACTCTATATAACCGCAACTTTATTGCACAGCATATGGGGAAAAAGTGAGCATATGTATATGTAAAAGTGAGCATATTAACTTTTTTCGTTTTAAGCAATTTATTAATAAGAAAGCAATTTTTAATTAAATCATTTTACAGTTTCCTAAAAAACATTGAAGTAAATAAGGAGTAAGTATAGAAAGGTTGGTCTCGACTTATTTTACAGGTCCAGACAGCTAATATTATATTGTTTATATATCGTCCAGTCCATGTTTAATCCCGTTAGTTTTTAATTTACGATTCTGTAAAAGTTCTAAAAACTTCTTTTTTTCTAAACTGTATACAGTTCATTGAATAAACGTTGATTGAAAGGACATATCATGAGGCCTATAGGCCTCATGATATATCCTTTCAATGAACGTTTAACGTCAATGAATAAATAACGTCAACAAAGTTTACAGCAACCAAGTAAATGCTGTTTTTTGTTAGATCTTTTTAATTTGTTTGTTTTTAGCTTTTCTGTTTGCTTTATTAGCGTTTCTGTATGCTGTATGTTTGTCATTTATAAGTTTTTTTGATTTTCGATTTGTATTTAGGTTTTTTTAAGCAGTTGTTGAAACTTATTGTTGATTTTCTTTATTACTAAAAACGGTGGAAACATCAATAATGACGTAGGTTAGTTTTAAAAGTAGTTAAAAAGTTCATTTGTTTAGAAAATATTTTTGAACTAAAGAGTTTGCATTATTTTTCAAACACAAGACGTGTTTAAGACAAATAAAAAGCGTATTAAAACGTGTTTAAACGTCTAAAACACGTCTTGATTTAATTCTAATTAGAACTTTTTTAATAAAAGTTCTAACTTCCCAGTGTTTTCTAAAAAGTTGAATTAAAAAAAAAAATTGTGTCAATATATTTTTATACTTTATAATATATTTATTTTTATACCTTATATCTATATATTTTTATACTTTTTTAGATAAAAAAATGCCAATACCCAAGCATTTCGTTTTATTGAGACAAGTTTTACAACTAAACGAGATAAAGTGGTACAAGAGAAACTTCATTTAAAAGTTATTTACATAAGCTTTTTGGGTGATATTTGATTATGAACAAAATTGTAGTTGTAATGGATTTTTTATACTCTTTATATGAACTTATCAGGTTTAAATAGAAAAATGAAAAAATTTGAAATTTAAATTTTAGATAAAAAGTCCTTTTTTGGTGGTGACTTAATACAAAAAATGTGAAAGTTGTGGAAAGAGGGCAACCAGTAAAAAAGTAGAATCGTAGAAGAGATCAAAATGTATTTAACTGCTGATGAAATTGTGACTGAGGGGCCATCCATTAAGGACGTCACCATTTTTCAGCCAATTTTTGACCATTCCCCCTCCTTTGTCGTCGGTTGTCCTTTTTCCCTATACCCTCTTGAAAAGGACGTCATAAAATCCTGACCCTCCCCCCCCCATTTTTAATCCCCAAAAAAAAATTTTATCTTGCAATGATGTTTGAATCTGCTGCTACACCTTTGAAAAATAAAATTAAAAATATTCTCATACATTATCTTCTTAAAAACACATGTTCACGTAGTTTTCTATGTTAATTAAACTAAAATAAAAAATCTATAAAGTGACGTCCTTTTTTGACAAAAGGAAGTCACTTTATAGATTTATCTCCCCCTCCCTTTTTCCTTTTTTTTCTTTTTTAACTCGACCCCTTCTCCATTCAATTTGAAAATTGGATGTGTAGCTATGTCACTCAGAAATTTAGATCTCAAAGTTGGGTTATGCAATGGCCCAAAAATGAAAGGTTGTGAAAAAAGTTTTTTCTGGTGATAAACAGGTATTTTTATTATATTTATACAGGTAAATTTCTGGTGATAAACAGGTATTTGTTTTTAAATCTAGTTGGCTGCATCATGTTATAATATACCTTTTGTTCTAAAGCGTCGTCAGTTTCTTTTCAGATTAGCAATGACAATTAGTTTAAGTCAAGGTTAGTTATTTGACAGAGTTAATGTAAAAAAAACTGTGTTTCTCTCATGGTCAACTTTGTATTGCATATTTAAGAACAAAAGCATTTAATAGTTTATTTTTCAAAATTAATAAACATCCCATTCAAGGTAAGGTAGAGAGAAAATATTACACAATTTATGTTATATAATAGTAATGTTATATATATTTTATATATAGAAAAAATCCAGACACCAGAATTTCCTGATTTGGGAAGCGTTAACTTTAAAATACTTCTAATTTAACGCTATATTATTTTTTTGTTGTTGTCTTATGGATTCATTAACATTCTTTTTTTTGTTGTTGTCTTATGGATTCATTAACATTCTTTTTAATTTGTAATACATTCTTTTAATTTTACTCTGCGTGTGTTTGAAATAATTTGATTTGACGTTTAATTTTAGAGTAATATGTTTGTAGTTGATATTAAATATTGTTAAAAATTGATACACGTGGTTTGATTTTAAGATTAATTGAAAATTAAAATTAGTTTAATAAAATTTTTTATTAAAGTAATTTAAATTTTAAGTTATGAGAAGTAATTATAGTCATTGCTTTTTTCAAATAACTAAAAAAATATTTGCCATTTGTTTGAATCGTCTTTTCATTTTTTAATCAGTTCAAACAATAATCTTATGAGTTTACAATTTAGAGAGTGTCTAGATGTAGTCTTTATGACTGTTCATTAATACTGGACCCAAGGGCGGATCCAAAAAGGAGGAAGAGATTGCCCCCATTGCTCCTCTACCCAACTTAGAAAGTTTTAAATTTTTTATTTTTTATTAGATTGTATATTAAACTCAGAAAGTTGTTTTAAAACGGAAACAATAAAGTTAGGCAGTCTAAATAAAAATTAAAAAAGATGTGGTGCAAGTTCAAAATTGTGTTAATACTTGCTTAAAAAATCATTATATCCAAAAATTGTTCTTCCCTTACTCTATACTAGATTGTCTGCATCCCCAAATTGTAAAAAAAAAATTAAAATCGCCCTTTCTCCCCTCCCCCCCTCCTTACGACATGGTCTGGATACGCCCTTGGCTGGACCTTTCATATTTCCAAAAATTTCCAAGCATAAAACTACGCATTTTTGATTGCTAAAGAATAAATAGTCCAGTTTCTCTGAATATATTATTATAAAACAATATTATTCCTGTAAAGTAATTTTTAGTTACACCCTTTTACTGTTCTGCGAAAACTTTACCCGAATCAATAAAATTTGTATCAAAAATTGAACATAAAAACGAAAAAAAATAACTCAGTAGTTTTTGGCAGCAGGTCACGAATTCTTATTATTTATACTAAAAGAAAGTTTTTCTTACTGTAAAATAAAATAAACTCATTAGATTAATTAATTGGAACAATTTGACAGAAACTCTTTGAATCCTTAAATATGAATCCTTTCTTTAGAATCCTTGTTTATGAACTTTATTGATCCACTTATACTGTTTAAATCAGGGGTGTGGAGTTGTAAAAAAAAGTACCTACTCCGACTCTGGTTGTTGAAATTTTTAGAGTACGACTCCGACTCCGACTCCAAAGCAAAATTTTTGAAAAGTTCTCTGAGTTCTTCAAAAAATATTACGCGAAAAACTAAAAAAAATTTTTGTCAAGTTTATGAAAAATTCTTCGAGGTTTAGTATAAATGCAAGGTTAATTGAACATTTTGTACATGCACGTGCAATACCCAGAAGTTTTACTATTGGAGTCGGAGTAGCGATTTTTTTTAGCGACTCGGACTCCAGTAAAAATGTCGCAACTCCGACTCCGATTCCGACTCTAACTCCACAGCCCTGGTCTTTTTTTTTTCAAACTTTTTTATTTTTATGTTTTCTGATTTATGCTCTCTATATTATAGAATAATTTTAAAACAAAAAAATATATACTCAAAAATATTAAACAGTTAAGCGAAACAAAAATGCAATAATTAATGTCCCACGTAACAATCAAATGATTCAGTATGTTATACAATTTTGTTCAACTCTAATCTAGTGTTATTTGTTTATTTCTGTTTTTTCAGTATTAAAATTGATACATTTTTAACTATTATACAAATAAATATCTTATTTAGCTCTACCCTGTTTGGCCTTTTCTAGGACAGACAGGGTAAAACTAAATAATGTCCTCGGCATATATTACAACACATTTGTAGTTTCTACGTAACTTCCGATGTACATACTGAGTAGTTCTTTTTTATAGTTTGAAGTAATTTTTATGTATAGACAGATTAGATGATCTTAATCCTTGCGTTAAATAACACTGTCGCTTATTTAGTAGCACAAATTTAACTTTTATTTATATAAAGATATTATATTAAAGTTTTTACTAATCACATTTTAGGTTTATTTTGGGTTGAAGTATGTAAATGGTAGTGTAAAATTTTAACTAAAAAGACAATGGAAATTTGTGAAGAATTATATACTCAATTTAACAATCAAAAAATCTATACAACTCTAAATCTTTAAATTTTAAATTGTTATATATATATATATATATATATATATATATATATATATATATATATATATATATATATATATATACATATTATATATACATATTATATATATATATACATTTTCTGATGAGTCTTTATTGATGAAACAAAGTGTTAAATGAGAAAAAATTTTGCTAAGTGATTTTCTACTAATTTACATATATATATATATATATATATATATATATATATATATATATATATATATATATATATATATATATATATATATATATATATATATATATATATATATATATATATATATATATATATATATATATATATATATATATATATATATATATATATATATATATATATATATATAGGGCCGTGCCGTGGCATGGAGCAATGAAGTAACCGCTCCAGGCGCCTGAGCCACGAAGACGCCTTTCAAATATTTCACATTTGTTCATTTACGTCTAAGAATATTATTTTTCTGATATGTAAGCAACTCTTTATGTTCTTTCCTTTTTTTTTTTTTTTACTGATAATAAAGTGTAGTCTAATGAATAATGATATTTTCATAACAAAAAGGCACCTATTAGAAATTTATCTTTATTATTGTTTGTGTAATTAGCGAAAAAAGTTTGAACCTGAACGTTGAAATTTGGCGTAAAGTTCGAACGTTCGAACTTGAACATGTTCGAGCTAGCAGCCCTAGTTATAAGAGTATACCTACAATTGTATTTGTAGTTTATATTAGGTTTTAACAAATTTAATTAAATCATAATAATTAAAAACCATGTTTGGAAATAAAAAGAAAAAGTCTGGTTGGGAAAATAAAAAACAAAGAGAAACAAAAGAAAATGAACGTAAGAAGCAAGCAAATTCTATATTGTCATTTGTTCAACAATCGTGCTCATCAAATATAAGTCAAGCTACAAGCAATATTGATGAACCAACAATTAAAAAACTGTGTTTCGATCAAAGTACAATCAACAGCATAAAAGAATGCAATATGGATAAATCGTCAAAATTTGATGAATATTCCAAAGCCTCAACATCTAATTTAGAAGAGAGTCAGGAAGCTGCTATTTCAGATCTTGTCAAAGATCCTACAGAAGTATTTATATCTACTGTAGATGGAAGCGAGCGTACCATTTGTGAAACATCAGAAGATCTCGAAGTTCCACTATTGACAGTGAATGAAGAGGACCGGGCGTATGAAGTGTCATCAGATTCCGGTGAATGGAAGTTTATCACGGACAATATGAGACAATTTTTGGTAAAAAAAAGGTCCAGTGCAAATAGACAATTTTGCCTTTCCTGTAAACAACAAAGCTAGACAATTTTCACCTTTTTTATACAATCGAAAATTGCCAAACGGAGAACATGTTGTGCGATCCTGGTTAATTTATTTACAATCTCAAGATTCGGTATTTTGTTATAGTTGTAAATTATTTTATAAAAATCGCAATAACTGGGCTGAATCATCAGGAATTCATTTCGATAGTATTTTTATATGGTATGAGTTAAGGTTACGCTTAAAAACATTTAACACCATAGATGCTGCTCAACAACGCGCCCTTAATATTGAAAAAAATAAGTGGCAAGAGATTCTTAAAAGAATAATTGTGATATTAAAATATTTAGCTTCGCAATCATTAGCAATACGAGGTACAAGTGATAAAATGTATGATAGAAATAACGGCAATTTTTTAAA